TTTTTTTTTCGCATCTTGGATCCGGAACACTCGTCTTGAAAATTTTTGGATTGACAATGATCATTCATTGGCACAATCAGGGAAGAGTCGGAACGTGTCATGGAATTAAAGAACGTGACCGGCACCGGCAAATTACCCTATGGGACTTTGGCTTTGGGAGCCGAGGGAATCAAGAAAGGTAACAACCAGTTTTCAGTATTTGTGGATACCGCCTCACGTATGTTGTTTGAAGGTGTAACGAGTGACACGCATCTCATTTTATTGCACCATGAAAGCCATCACTTCGTTCGAAGAGGCGCGTCGTTCTGATCTCGAGAACGAACGTTTACCGCCAACGCGAAGGGAATCAACCGAGGTGGATCGTTCCAAGGCTATCCAAGAAGCAATCCAGGAGGTCGACGACGATCAGGAACTCCAGGAAGTGGCCGAAGTCTTTATTAAAGATGAGGAGAGGAGGAAAAGTTTAAAGGAAGGAGTAAATCTTAATCTTTGAGAGGATAATGTATCGTAATCATTGCTTCCGGGGTGCCTATTGGTGGCCATCATTTTCTAATTTAGCGGCTATGACTTTTAATATTATTAAAATTAAGATCCGTATTTATTCACCAAAAAATTACACGCATCACCACATGTAAATTTATCTCCTTCACATCTTGACCTCACCCCTCGATGTCGTGATGTCAGCTGCATTCATTAAATTGCGTAACGTTTTTTTTTTTCTAAAAAGAAAATTAATCCATTTACCTAATGATGCTTCCTATTTCATTTTTAAACCTACGCGTGCATATACTGCGCGTGCATATACTGTATGTGCGTGCGTACATGACTTATTGGTTCGGATTTTCAGTAGTTATGAAAAAAATGTAGGCGTAAGAAATTTAGCGCCCACATCTCAATTTGACTAGTGCCAGGATACCCAAGTCATCAATCGATGCATCAATGTCACACCAGGTTTGCCCACCGCCATATTACGTATATAAAAAAAACAAAAAAAGGGTCTTACCTCGCTCTTTGAAAGACATCACACATAGACCGAGAAGACGAAACCATGAGCGAAATTGTTCAAAACATTTATATACGAGATACTGAGATAAGAAACACACCAAAGCCTCACATTGTTTATCGCGTGGAGGTAAACACGTCTAGTAGAACGTGGTCAATCTGGAAGCGTTATAGTGAGTTCGATGAGCTGAACGATAAATTTGTGAGATTGTTCCCAAATAATCCTCCGCCAAATGAAATGCCGGCAAAACACTATTTTCAATCTACGCTGGGGAACCCGGTGTTGATTGAGGAGAGGCGCCGGGGATTGGAAGATTTTTTGAGGGGAATTCTATTTCACAAGGATGATCGTTGGAGGGAAACCGACGAATGGAAGGAGTTTTTGGCCATACCAACAGGAAGGCCGCTTGATGCGACGACCATGTACACCTCTGAGAGTTGGCTTGACGAGTACAATCAAGTACAGTCGATGACCAAAGAGATTAGGTCACTCCTCAATCGTCGTGAAACTCACATTATCAGTAACGAGGTTCAGGCCTCACACAATTGCGGAGTGCAAGCTAAAAAAAGTTTGGCAGCTCTCGGTGTACGGGTGACGCAACTTGAGGGTGGTTTGACGGGTTTGGCAAAAGGGATGGGAAGGGACGGGAAGATAATGTCCGAGGGAGAATTGAGAAGGCGACAAGACCTCTTGAATGATCTCAAAGATGAAAAGGACACATTGAACAAACTTGTGATGGCCAATCGACCTGACATCAGCAAGTCCACAACTCCCGCCAGTTCTGTTGATCGTGCGGCCTTATTTCGCCAGCCAGTTCCCCGGCATCGCTCGTCACCTCAACTCTCCGGTCGACTTGGGAACAATGTCAATGTCTTGGAGAGGCCACCTTCGCGACGAGTCTTTGGTAATGCCCGTGCGATGCCGGAGGAAACCGAGGTGACACGAGGTTTAGATAATGAGGGACTGGTGAATTTGCAAAGGCAAACCATGGAAGATCAAGAGCATCACGTCGAACAATTTAGTGCCATATTGAGTAGGCATAAGCAAATTGGATTAGCAATCGGTCAAGAATTGGACATTCAAAATCAAATGTTGTCAGAGTTGAATGTGGATCAGACAGCAAGTAAATTGAGATATGCCACGAGAAAATTGAATTCCATCAAATAAAAATTTGCTACTTTCGAATCTTTCGTCCTGTATGAGGCAAATTGTCGGTTACGTTAAATTAAAGCATGCACGAAATCACACGTGCTTTGAATTTTCCTTGCTATTTACATGATTTTTTTTTTTTTTTTTTTTTTTGTACTCGTAAATGAATGTTATTATGATGTATGATGTTGGCGATTTGTCGCTTCAAAAAAGGCGGCACTTTTGACCTGGCGCCTATTTTTTCCGGATAAGGGTTATCACGTGTCGGTAATAATAATAGGGTTAGTGCGCACAATATATACAATATGTAGAATACGTATAAATACAGCAAGGGAGTTTCAAAGAGATAATAAAATTGGATGCCAGGCAGTTTCTGTACTGTGCTGATATTTTTTTTTTTTACAGACTTTAAAGAAAAAAGAAAGAAAACTTATTTAACTCTCGGTTTTTCTAACGCTGGTAAATACTGTGAACTTTTTTTTGTCGCAAAGTATTGGAGTGTTGTGAAGCCTCCTTGTCTATGTATTTATGTGGGTTGCTTCCCTTACCGCAAAGGAATAATGTCCTCTTACGGGTGTAAATCACCTTGCGTGCGCGTGTGCAGAGCTTATGCCAACAACGGTCACTGTCGAAACGGTCAATACTGCGACTATTCGCACATACATGGGCAAGGTCTCGATGGGGAAGAATCCTCTTCAACTCGCAAAACAAATTCTCCTCGAAGATCAGACTTTAACTCTTCCCCAAAAGCACAGAGTTCGAACGCAAGTTCAACGAACCAGTTCGCTTCTCCTCATCGAGCCTCAAATTCTCACTACAAGCAACATGAAAATATAACTATCTGCAAATACTTTCTTAGAAATAGTTGCATTTATGGGGATTCCTGCTGGAATAGACACGAGCGACCCGAGGCAACTGTCGAAGTGGAATCGGAAATCAAAGAAACCAATTTAAAGAAAAAAGATAAACAGAAGGAGAAAGTGGATGAGGAAGAATACACTTGTTCAATTTGTTATGATGTGCCAAAATTTTTTGGCTTGTTAGGTATGTCCCGATGTCAAAGTTTTTATTTTCCTGATTGCAATTCAATTCGACAATTGCATTCTCCATTCATCGCTGAATGATATGTTCGTCTTAATCTCGTAACCTCACATACGTCATATGAGCTTGCGAAGTCGGCTTGATTGTTCATCGATGTCATCTCGCCTCGCCATCTCCTTTCCCTTCCTCCCTTCCTAGCCCTGTTTGTTGCTTACTAACGCTTCATCCAATTTTCCTTCCTGATTGGATATATTATAGTTCATTGTGACCACGTTTTTTGTCGTGGTATGACTCTTAAAGTGATTTCGGTGTGATTTTTGTGTTCGTGGGTACACAACAGATCCATACTAAGTACTCTTGTAAACCTAGATTGTATAAAGGAGTGGCGCAAAACGGATGATCTTTCCGGTCCCTTCCAAACAATCAACACCACAAAAACCTGCCCCGTATGTCGAAAGAATTCACCATATGTCGTACCTTCTCCGACCTTTGCAAAATCCGGACCGGCAAAGGATCAAATCATTTCATCTTACCGGGAACGACTTGCACAAATCCCTTGTAAATATTTTAAGGAAACTAGGAGATGTCCATTCGCGGACGCCTGTCATTACGAACACGCCAATCCCGATGGAACAAGGTGTATCTTGGGCCCACCCCGCAAGAAAAAAACAAGATCAGTGTGTCCCATAGAAAATTTTCGCTATTTGGAAGTATCTGGAGAAAGTAGTGTGATTGATATTTCAGCAATCTCCGAGATTCTTGGAGGACTTTCTAGGGATCATGGCTTCCGCAATATTTTTGCTAGAGATTGGGGTGATAACTGGGATGACAAAATAGATTTTGCCGAGAATCCTTCGTGGGATGACGATTTTCCTTTCGAAGATCAAATAGGTTCGTTCTCCTCAGACAATCAAGAGGATATTACGGAAAATAGTAACAATACTGGTTGGGGAAATTCCGAATGGGGAGAGAATTCGGGCGAATGGTGGACTGGTTGGGATTGATTATGAAATGATTAGTGAAACGCATCATTTATGTACGCACTTTTACATTTAATATTGTTAAATTCTAATTTTTTTTTCTTTTATTTTTATTTTTTTTTATTTTCTTAAGAGTAAGTAAGTACCCTTTGAGTTGAAGTTCGATGGTTAACTATCTTTTATTTTCCTTTCCGATAAACTTAATACAGTATTCAACTAACTATGGATTATAAATAGAGTGACTGTTCTCTTATTCGTAGTTGGTCTACAGTAATATAGTGGCCCTTTATTATTTTACTACTAGTTTTGCTTGCGCGAATATTTATACTTCTAAAGATTATGTCGGTCAGCGGATCTGTGAATATTATCTCGCGAGCTGACATCCCTTTCGACATTATTTATTGATTTCTTTAGCACTACCTAATGTTGCCCGCCAGTGTTCAAATCTATTATTACTGCTTGTATAATAAACTCGATTTTTTTTTTTTTTTTTTACTTACGCATTGTAAATTTCTCTTTTTGCCTATATACTGTAACTCTATTCTTTAGCCCTCTCATCACAAGTAATTGTTTCCTAATATGGATTTTTCTGATCTGCGCATGTGATATATCCATTGCGGATTTCATATTAATGTGGCTTTCGTGGGTGGTGCATCATGAGTCGAATGACTCAGTTCTGAAACTTCGCCGCTCTCAACTTTTATTGTAAAAATATGCTTGTGTAACTAGGTTTTACCATCAAAGATTATGTCATAAATTGTCTGAATCACTAATATACGGTATATCGCGATTCCCACTTGATAGATGATGACACTCATAGATCGCAGACTTTCAACACCTACAAACACGCATCACTTTGTTTTATATCCGAGCCAACTTGGAAAATTTCAAATAATCATTATCACAATGAACTAACGAAACAATGGCAATAGCATTCAACATTACAATCATTAACGCAATCGATAAAACAGATGCATGAATTAATAGCACCAAAGAAGACGCTTACCAACGCACGAAATGCCTAATTAGTCAAAACACCGACGCGTAATTGAATTCGATTTTAGTATTCAAGTCAGAGTACTTTTTTGCCATCCTAGCATTAAATTCGCAAACAACGTTAACCACGGAGACATTGAGAAGCTTTTCACGCATGAAACGGATTATGGCTCAAGTTACGATTTGTTTTTCAATGAGTGCATTCGGGACGAAAAAAACATTAAATGTAATTTCATAAGTCACATTGAATATCGAAATAATGGGAAATGGGAGATGGTTCTAATGAGACCATAGCATTGATGAAATGAAACGTAAATCGCAAAAATGCTGGCAAAGATTTAATTAATATGAAAGTCAATCAATAATTTTGATAGGATATTTACACATTCGCTTGCCTTTTTATTTTCGCGAACTACTTATAACACACCTTATCATTAAATAAAAATAGCAAATAGTATAAAAAAAAAAAAAATAAAAATACAAATAGTATAAAAGTCCACATATACTATAACTGTAGATACTGCAGCTCTCTTTTGAAAACAAGAATGAATGAATTTATTCGAAAAAGAATGCATGCAGTATAAAATGCGAAACCTGAAAATACAAGCGGTTCAGTGGTTTAAGCTTTATTTATTTATTTATTTTTAATGGACGGCTCAGCCATATTTTCTTCATTTCAAATGTAACATACTGTATACGGTATATAATATAATTTACAATTTCAGGTAGTTCAATAGGAATAACAAAATACAAGGATTACTTTACAGAGAAAACTTCTCAAGTCGAATCATAGATTTAGTTAAAACTATTAGGTGACTTGTTGCTAGGATGAACCTGGTTAGAGTAATTTCTATCACTATACCATCAAGGATAACTTATTAGGCCTTTTTTAAACTATCATTACCATCTATCATCTTTTGAATCAGTCAAAGTATGTATTACAAGAAACTCACTTAACTTTATCTATTTTGATTTTTTACTTTCTACATTAAGAAATTTTAACTTTTAAAAAAAGAATTGAAATTGAAAATTTTCTTTTTCCGAGTTATCAAGGCCGTGCTGATTCACCAAAATTTCGAAAATATACAGTAAGTGGATAATAAATTTGATTCGATAATTATACAAACCTTTTTAACTCACTATTACAGTATATTTATATTTATACAGGTATGATATGATATGTAAAATACAAAGATCGTAATTTTAATAAACAGATTTAATACATTATAATAGTTTTTAAAATACTTTTATTAAATTGAATTAATAACTGTAATAAGAACAATATTTATTATGAGAATAGTAATATAAAAAAAATGTTTAAAGCATATATAAGATTTTTGTTTATAGTATCTCTTATTATAAATAGTATCATTTCAACTTTGAATAAAATTCTAATAAATTTGATATAAATAAAATTTTACAATCAAATAAAAATAAGTAATTATTTTTTAAAAAATCAAAATTCTTAGATTAAATATAATAAATCAATTTGAAGTTAAATAAACTTTTAAAAACATAGAACTTTACTATATCAAATTGTTATTTTTTACTAAATATATATAAGTAGTAATATACCAAATAATTTTTTTTTACTAATATTACTCTCAGGCCTTAACCCAAATATTCTTATTTCACTGGCTATTGGCTTCTCAAGTTACATTTTTTCTTCTTTCTTTTCTTAGTTCATCATGTCATGTATTTTTTTATATTACTGATATTGGTAAGCCTATAAAGTACCTATGTGGGGTCTTCAGTAATGCCTTGCTCTATCAAAATACTCTTTTTATACAATCTATTATAGCCTGTCTATGGAGTAATCATATGAAGTCTTTAATAGTATCTTTTTTTGAAAAGAAATCCTATTTCTAATTAATATGCTTAAGCTTCATTAAGTCTAAATTATATAATATGCAGATTTTTCTTTATCTATCTGCTGGTGCAATGCAAAACCTGTCTTGTAATAAGATGATATGCAACCTGAAACTAGTTAAAGTATCATTGTGATTTTTGTGTTCCATAATTAGACAAAATCTAGGTTAAAGGTAATAGAATTAGAATTATTGAACAGATAAGATATTATTTTAATATAGAATTTCTTCTAGAAAAGTATAAATATATACTAGTCTAATTAAGAACTTAAAAAGGTAATATTGAGTTTTTTGATCTTATTATAATTTACATTTTATATCTTGTTTCTCTTTTTTTTTAAAAGTTTAAATAAAATATATTTCTTATATCAAAGTATATTTCTTTAATAATAGTTTCATTTATTGAATTTGTACTTATATCTTTTATAAAAAATTATGTAATTATTTTTAAGTAGTTTTTTTTTTTTAAATCCTTTATTAAGCTAGATATATATACTTTATTAAATATTTTATATACTTTATATTATAAAATATATTTCTAAAGCTAAATTTTTACCAAATTTATTCATCTCTATTTTGAAATTTATTAAAACTTTAAATACAACTTTAAAAATAATTTATCACTTTATTAGTAATTCAAATAAATATTCTTTTAACTACTAGCTTTATTATCTATAGATTATTATTACAGATATAATTATTTTTAAACAGTTTTATTTTTTTTTATATCCTTAGTCAGGCTAAATATGTGTGCTTTATTAAATATTTGTATACTTTGTATTATTAAGTGTTTCACTAAAGTTAAATTTCTATCTAACTCACTTGTCTCTATTTTAAATTTCTTAAAACTCTAAGTACAACTTTGAAAGTAATTTATTACTCTATTAGTAATTCAGGTAAAAATCTTTTCAATTGCTAACTTTATTGTCTGCAGGTTATTACTGCAGATTACTCTTTGATATTTTAATTGGACTTATAATCCTAATTACTTCATTTTATACTCTATTTCTTTTAAGAATCTTTTTAAAACTTTCATCTTCTAGTTTTTCTTCTTTCAGTAATAGTTCTTTTCTTTTTAAGAATATAATTTTCTGGCCTAAAAAGATTGAAGGTTTTTTTATCTTGTTTTTTTTATTAATTTTCTAAGTTTGTTTCAATTCTATAATCTTTTCACATCTTGTGTTTCAAATTCTTTTTCAAACTTGATTGCAAACTCTTTTTTGTATTTTTATTATTTATTTTCTAGCCTTTTTTTTCTATATGTTTATTATGATATTTTAGATCTGACATTTCTAAAATAAGGTTTTTTCTTATGAGGTCAATACAAAAACTTATAATATCTTGACTAATTATAAAAATCTGTTTTACTAGTTTGAAAATCGAATTGTCAAACTCTCCTAGTTCTTTCTAATCATTAATATTTAATTTATTACTTTTTTCTTCAGCCTTCTTTCTTTTTTTCTTGTATAAGCTCTTTAAAGCTTCTAAGAGTTTTATCTATTCCTTTATTCCATACTTATTGAAGTTGATTATTATAAGTTGAATATTCTAGCAAGTGTTTATTGTTTCATTCTATTGACTACATGTGATATATTGTACTTTACTTACTTATATACAGTAGGTTAGATCTTTTTGTAGTCAATTTATATAATATTGATAACTTATTATTGTTCAATTTAATGAAAAAGCTTTTTTGTTGAGATTTTTTAAAGAATATATTCAATGTAGAACTATCTTTTATTCTTTCTTATACTAGATTCCATATATGATCTTACTGTTCTAAAATCTGATGAGTCTATTTTTTTTCTATTTAATTTTGTTGAGTCTACTGATAGACCATTATTTTGTTGTTTATATTATTGATAAACTGATTAATTGGATTATCTAAGGTTTTGTTTTATTACTTGATCTCTGTAATGATCTTGTGGAAGTTAAGATTTTTCTATTCAATTAATGAGAACTTTAGGACAGTTTTAACTAAGGTATCTGCTTCTTTATTATAAGGATTATTAAAGTGTGCTTTGACTTTGGTAGGCTTTCAATTTACTGTTTTTTTCTTTATTAGCTTCACTATTTAGTCCATAAAGATCAATTTTTTTCCTTTAATCATCTCTTATATATTTTTTTCAAATCCTCTTTTTTTATCATCTTCTATTTAAT